CCCCCGGCAGCCACCAGCTCCCCGCTGACGGACCTTAGGCGCACGACTTGAGTCGGTGGTTCTCCGCCCTGCCCCTGGCCTGAGCCAGCCCCGCGAGCTTTGCAAGAAGGGAGAGCGCAGAAGCAGCCTGACCCCGGCGCCCAGCTCTCCGCTCCCCGTTACCCCCGTCGCTGCGGCAGACCCCAGAGTCTTTACCAAACAGCGAGCTCTTTTCTTTTCGCTTTTCTCCCTGAACGAACAAGCCTCTCGTGGCCGCTAGCCCAAATCAATCCTGAGCTGAAGCTCGTGGATGCCGGGAGCCTTCCCCTCGCCTGCCGGCAGCTCCTGGCGCAGAGACCCAGGAGGGCCAGGCGTCCCTCTCCCGCGCTCGCAGCGAGGCCGCGAGAGCCCCTCTGCTCACCGGGCATGCAGATGCACTGAAATTCGCCAATTTGGTCCAGGCAGGTGGCATCGTTCTGGCAGGGATTGGAGAGGCACTCGTTGACGTCTATCTCGCAGCGCGGCCCCGAGTAGCCCTGCAGGCACTGGCACTGGAAGGACCCTTGCGTATTGATGCATTTCCCCGCGTGCTCACAAGGGTTGGCTCCTGAAAAATTCAAGTGTCGTTTACAGGACACAGCTAGAGAGCTGCTCACAGTCCCCAGCCACACGCGAGGTCCCCGCCTGCGCTTTCTCCAGCTGCTCCTCTTCTGTTTGCACCAGCTCCTCAGCCTTCGGGGCCAGGGCCGGCTCCCAGCACTCACCCAGCGAGCACTCGTCCACGTCCTGGTTGCAGGCTGGCCCCATGTAGCCCGAAGGGCAGGTGCAGATGGCTTTGCCATTGACAGGATTGGTGTCACAGTTGGAGCCTTCGTTGCAGGGGTTGCTGATGCAGGCGTCATCGAGGTGGCACAGCAAACCTGCGGAGCAACAGGCACGCTCACCTCAGGGCTGCTAGCCATGCAAGTCATGACGCACCTTCCCCTAGACGCCAGCAGCCCGAGAGAAGAGCCCGGGGCACGCACAGGGAGCTGCCTGTCCACCCCAGTGCACCCCCTCCATGGGGGCAACGCAGGACGGGGGCCTCACCCGGGCGGCCGGGGGGGCAC